TGCCTCAGAATGTGTCCCATCATCCTATCTCTTCTTCTCGTAAGATTTTCCCATAGACTTCTTCCTTCGCCTGTCCTGTCTAAGACCTGCTCATTTCGTACTTTATCAGTCCACTTAATTTTCAACATCCTTCTATAACACCACATTTCAAATGCTTCTATCCTTCTTCTTTCTGGCTTTCCCACTGACCATGTTTCGCTTCCTTATAGCGCTGTGCTCCAAACAAATAACTTCAGAAAAATCTTTCTTAATTCCAGGTCAATGTGACACTTCCAATGTGGGTAAGCGAGTAGAAAATAATAAATCGGCGGGCCGCAGGCTGAGAACCCCTAAACTAATTTGCACTGTAACAGTTAAGGGGTGTTTCCTGGAAGACAATGCTCTATGAACGAGGAGCCAATTTTGTACTCTAGGGACAAAACTGAAGTGCTGTAACATGTTTCTTTCTCTATATAACGACTTTTCGGTATTATGTAAGCTGTGAAGCATTGAACTGGTGGATGACTGTGTATCATAAACTAAGAAAAACGTGGAAATAATTGAGCACATTTTGCAACAATATTTCAGAATTTCTCTGAGAGGCTTTATCACCATCACCAAAAATATCAGTCAGGATAAAAGGCCGGAACACGAAATTCAACGTGGGGGCATTCATAACCCGGAGCAAGAGTGCACTCTGCCGCCAGCTTCGCTCAACTGCATTACGCCATTAGTCCTTTTCAGGAGGCCTAGTTGTGTATGCCACACGTCTACACAATTAAACTGCTGCACGGTTGTTAGGTTCGGGCTCACTCGTTTGTGAGATCGAAACTTGGTTTATCGATCCACAATAAATCGCCTCTTCGTAGGTTTCCCCCGTTCGCCTTGAGCTCCTTGTGTGAACAAAACGCTGTCGAAGGTTACGAATTGAAGGGTAGGTGAGAACTGTTCAAATTCTCCCCGTTCTTTCACTGGACGGCATAAAAGTAAGAGAGAGGTCTGGCTGATCTACATGTCCTTCGGAAAGTTTAAACTCCGAAACCACTTGAACGCAGTTACATGGGCCTTGGTTACGAGGTCCACACTGAAGCACAAACCGGTCCATTAAACCCGTTTTAAAAACATGCAACTCAAACGAAAATACTCAGATTTTCTCAATACTGCCCCTGATTGGTAAGAAATATTTAAATAAATATAAGTCTTAAACGTGTTTATCCTACTAAACTGTCAACATGGTAGAAAGGGGAAGACCAACAAAACTCCAGATTCTGTATTGTATTCGATCCACTGGAGGCTTTCTGTGTCGTAAACGTAATTTGATGTCCTCGGTGGACTAGTGGTTGGCGTGCTCGCCACTGGACCCTGGTTCATACCCGGCCGAGGTCGATGGATTTTTAAGGGTGATAAAAATCCGTAGCACAACTTCCTTCGGAGGGGGAGTAAAGTCGTTGGTCCCATGTCATAGATTTACGGCATGTAAAAAAACCTTACGAGCATGAACGAGATGTTTCATAAGCAAAATTCAGCGGTCATTTCTCACATAAGTCTCTCCTGATTCACTACTAGATGGCTCTAGCATACAAATCAGGATTGAGCAGAATTTGTGCAGAGGCAGTGGGCTTATCACTCATTAATCATAAATGCACACTTCAAAAAGAGAATAAGAACCCTCCAAATGGGAGGAGGCCTAGGCTCGGCTTCGGGCTGTTGTGACACAGAGTCAGTCAGTCAAACGTGATTTGATATCAAATAGAAATATATTAAAAATAAAGGAAAACGCTTCTTAACTTTGAAATTTTGTCAACTCAAATTCGCTTACCTTGTAAAATAATGTTGAGGTCATCATACGAGTCTGATCCCACAGCAGCACTTTATCCAATGAAAATAAATGACGAAATGAAAGAGCAGAACATAATGTGCAGTGATGTAACTGAGGCAAAAGCATCACAACATGACAGCGACTATCGGGTGCGACCAGCAGTTATTTCCATGCAAAACACAGATTAGGAGCAGAAGTATGCACAGTTAACTTGTTATCAGCTTACATTCCAGTCTTAGTTATATCTTCTGTTCATACCATGAACTGGCAAAACTTTCATGACAAAAATATGTCTATATATTTGTTTAACGTACTCCACATGAAAGTTATTATTATAATTTAATGATTTCTCCAAATTAGAAGCCTGCGTTATAGTCAAACATCCTTGTTTTAGACTACTTCGAAGCCCAGCAAAAACAAATCTGGATTATTAACAACGCCGACAAGAATATAAATCCGAGATGTCTATATGACGAACGCACGTATTTGTCCACAAACAAGGCGAACTTTGCTAACTTTTATCCCTCATCAGTCATGGGGTTTATTCATCCATACAATATTTGAGGAGTCAATTAACTACACAGGTACCATACAGCACAAGGTTTGGTCACAATCCCCTTGTCTGGTAGAAGTTTGCTAATGTTTCAGAGATGCTTACTGATTTCACCATCATCGCCCTGATAATAATGACAGCAATGTCCTCTGAAAAACGTCGGTAAACTTCCACCACACAACACAGCTCATCTCAGACTACAGTCATGTTTATAGTAGCCGCCGTGAGAACTAGAAATGTGTCTTCGTGACTGACTCGCCAGCCGTCGATTTATAAAAGACAGCAATTCGTTCGCATTAATGGCAACTCTTAAGTGTTCCTAACCTCTGTCGCGGACATATTTACAATGGCATCTCACACAACAACTGACGAACCTCAATCTCGTATTAGCAATCTTCCAAAAGCACGTTTAATTTATCTTCATGCGATTCGCATGCATCCGTCAAAGTCTTCATCAGTAAGGCAGATAACAGTTCTTAATTCTCACGTACTTCAACAAGCTCAACAGTTGCTCGAAGCGATGTTCTGACGGAATAACAAAATCTATTTCTAATATCTGGTAACTGTTTTTCATCACAGGCCTAGGATGATACAGTTTATTACCAAAATGTGCAGATGCTGCACAAAACATACCGGGGGGGCCTCTATGTGCGGTCTCTTAACTAGTGAATAATTAATTAATAATGAACAGTAACGGATATGGAGCGCAGCTGTCGTGACCAAATTTAAGTTGCTATCTGGGTATCTGAACGGTCTTTGTAAGACTACAAAATAGTCGTACAATAGACCTCCAGCTTGATACTTAAACCTGGGGCCTCCTGAAGACGAAGCAGCTATGTTAGACCGTGGCCAAGACAAAATGATACTCGTGCGACAGTTTCTACCGTAAACCGGCAACACACGATATAAAAAACTCACTAGTTTTGGGAATAAATCATACGGATTGGCATTAAGTCCTCATTATGCGACAATTTTATGCGCTTCGTGTAAGGCATTGTCGAGAAATCTTTTGTTGGAACCGCTTCTTGTGAACATTTTCTTCTCAGTATATATACATGATACTTTGCATAGTCTGCCGATAGTCACCATCCACGACCCTGAGATTGAAACATGGAGAGAGGCAGGCCACCCCTGCAGTCGGGCAGAAAATCAATGGCGCAAAAACTTATTACCCCCAGCCAAAGAGAAGACTATAGCAAAGATGTTACACAAGCCACGCGAACACACGTTCGACTGATTATTTCGGTTCCTAAGTAAAGTAACAAACTAACTAACTAGTTCCAAACATAAAACTGAAACACGGATACGATAAATAGTGTTAATTCATGTATCAGAGTTAGCTGGCGGCACTTTGCTGTTAAGTTGGTTCATGAGGGGTGGGATAAGCCGAAGAGAACTTCTCTATGACGGATAAGAAAGTAGAAATGTTTAATGTCGGCAAAAAAAACTGGACAAAACTGGATGAAAGAGAACAGGGTACCTACTCTTTGTAGTACAATGTTCTTTACGCCACACGATGCAAGTCACTGTTGCACTAAAGTGATCAGAAGTAATTGTTGCGCTTTCGGTAATTCTTGCAGAACTGGGATCCAAGGTCATTTTTTTTCTAAATAATGTATTGACCAATTCCGGCGATGCGCAGCAATGTATTCCAACAATGACCCCCAATCATGCCGGTTGCCTACCTCAGCAGGATAACCGCGACAGACATTGAAGGTTGCAGAGCGACGAGCAAATACAAGCACAATACATCTCACTTAAAAGCAAGGGGTTAATTGGACTGTGGAGTACTGAGTTGCGATGCAGTGTAGTCTTGTAGGTGGTTATCAGCGTTTCACAGAAACGTATCGACTCCATATGCCCTGAAGATGGAGGCAACAGGTTTCTCCGAAACGCTGGTAATCACCTACAAGAATACGTGGCGTCACAACACACAACGCCACTACCAACAGCTTCAATAAAGTTCAAATGTCACGATCATTGTTAATGTACTTACAATTTATATAAAAAAGTAAAGCTGTCCCTCTATACGGCATGTAGGAGCTTGGGGGAGGGGGCGAAATAGCTCCTAGTCATTCTTAACCTCGGCACTTAAAATTTATAAAGAATGAATTATATACAAGAAGACTGTAATGAATGCATTCTGAAATTAAGTCTGTGTATATATTGGTGCTAGGTTGAGAACATTTATTTGGGAGGAGACAAAACATAAACCTCACACTTGCGGGTTTCGTGTTTTCTGCAAAACCAATTTGCAGTCTGTTGTGTATGTGTATTAATGGACGGGAAATAAACAGTTAACATATTCCGAGGCTGTACAGTCTTCTGTATACACTACGGAGTTGAAATGGTAAGAATCAATGACAGTTCAGAAGAATTCCCGCCTTTTATTCCAGTGTCTGCAACATGTTATATGGGCCCTCAGGTCTTCGAGGCACCGACCAGCATTCACAGTAGTCTCTTGTGAATCCACCGCAACTAAACCGTAAAAGACACCAGCCCATATAAAGTTACAAACAGGACATAATACAAACGCAGAATACTATAGGTCAAACAGAGCAGCAGCTTGAAACTAAAACAACACAAACTGCACGCCGAAGACATGCAAACGAGTGCAAAGTTAATCTGTACCATGCATACTGCCCTTACATTGAAGCGGTGCTGGAGAGTATTAGATCCTTGCCACATGACATCAACTGAAGCTACAAACAACGACTAGCGGCTGACTGACTACTCACTAAAACGTGGCTTGCTGCTCTATGTGTTACTACACTACTCTTGCTTCTCCTGACAGCCCCAACCGACTACCGCTCGCCTAGACTGCATGCTTCCAGCGACGCGCGCCTCTCCAAACACTTCAAAACGGAAAGATATCTCGCTTCATCCAGCAGACCTCCATTCTAGTCAAACTTACAATCAGCTTATTCGCTTATTTTACATTACTGTAAGAACGACAGAGTTTCTCTAACAACGGAGGCAAAGAAAGAAGGGAAGAACAGGTAATTCCAACACAGACAATATTTCTATTCTACTCAGTCTAAACTAACCAACTATATGGCTTACCGAACCCGAACGTTCATCACCGAATTAACCAAAGCCCTCCACCGGACTCTGTCCTGGGTCAACAAAATCAAGTCTCCTTCAACTCCTATCTCCCACAGATCCCGCCTGAGATTATCCTCCCATCTACGTCTCCCCAGGGTCTCTTCCCCTTAGGCTTCCCAACCAATACCCGGTGCACACCTCTTGTCCCATCCATGCGTGCTACATGCCCCGCCCATCTCATTCTTCTCGACTTAATCACCCTGACAATACTGGGGGAGGAGTACAGATTTTTAAGTTCATTATGCATTCTATTCAGTCTACACAAAACAATTTATAATAAGATAAGTTTTCAGAAATGTTTTATTTCATGGATTTTGTTTTCGTATGACATGTTTCGGGCTACTTACCCATAATCAGATAATACCACATTCCCTAATTTGGTGACATATTAAAATTTGAAATACTTGTAATGTTATTTATCCTACTCTGATGATATACGTAATCAGAATTTCGGCGAATCATAATACGGTCATTAAAATGTCAGGTGTCATGTCATAAAAATTTCTCGTAATTAACACAAAATAACATAAAAATAAAATAAAGATAAAACTACATAAAATGTGCCATACATGTTTTGTCTTGGATCATCTTACTCACCCTGTCATACTTTGCATGTAACATATTTCGTAATGTATAATTGATTACATAATTTTTCATTATTTTATACTGTAAAACTTATCTTCCAATTATAAAATATAAAATATAAATGCATCACACATTTGTTTGTGCACACTTTAGGTACAATATTGTGTCGTTTCGAGTCATCCGATTTCAAAGAAGCGTAAACAGAATTCACTTTCGGCAGCGTCGAGGCTTTTTCCATCGTCCACTATCGGATTCTGCTGTTGAGGTTATGTTACCTGTGTCGTGCCGCTGCATTAATGCACATGGCGTTATACGCGATTTTGAAGGAATACAGAGATGATTCCAGTGTGCCCACTCACGTCACGAATTTTATGTGGCTCCCCGTCAAAACCTGGTTATTAGCATGTGACGGTGAAGAAATTATTCCGTTGTCTCTGTTCCAAGGTACATACTGTAACGTCTTCTGCGGCTACTTGAATCAACCGGGAGAGATCGTCCCACGCGTTGCAAATTATTTTCTGACGTATAAAACGTGTCACGTGACTTTCTGATCACCTTCTATAACCATGTTCACAGATGATTTAATGATAATACTGAATCCGAAATTACGTAAACGTACGCTACGGATATATCGATTAAATTTTCCTGTCATCCATTACATGCAATTTTCACACACTTGTAACCAGGGCTGTGGGGTCGATACTAAAACCTCCGACTCCTTCATAAAAGCTCAATATGTATTAATGATGGTAAACCTACTAAAATGGTACCACAAGAGATTTCATCACCACCACGTGAATCATCAGGCTACTTTTTAGACGTATAACCTATATTTAAATATAAGTATAATTGTTATTGCAGAAATCGGTTTATTTGTAGACGGTTTGTATTCTTCAGGTACCGGAGCCAAAGTTACAAAGCATTATTCCCACACCATGTGGCTCAACGCGTCGTTGAATCTCCCTAAGGCAATGTCCTACGTAAGCGATAAGAAACGAGATGTGCGAGCTGCATAAGCAGAATGGGGTGTCATATGATATAAGGGAATCGCTTGTTGTGTCCTTCGTGAGAGAAACACACGGCCTTCCTGCGCATGCACCTTCCCTGTACTGCACAGTCAGAGCTTTTCTGCGCATGAGCCTTACTGGCCAGCGCAGCGACCTGCGCGAAAATATCAAAATATTTTATATCGGCTTTGGCCGCTGACCGCTTCGCTGTCACATAGGACAACGCCACACAAACAGCCAGTTTGATATTTCCGCTTCACCCTCGCAACTCGCACCGCTCGCATTTAATCGCTCACGTAGGACACCGGGTAAGGCCCGTTTCACATATACACGGCGACCGTCCAAACGGCTCCGTTTACCGACGGCTCACACGGTAGCGAAAATGTTAAAATAGTATTTTCTTACGATTTTATACCGGAGTCGGTACATTTTTACTGCTTTAACACGTAATTGTATTCTCGGTGAATCTCTTCGATATTTGGTGTTGTCAACATTATGTTGGGTAACTTTACGTGTGTATACTTGAGTTTGTGCACTATTTCATAAACAATATCAACCTTGTTGCCTCCTATCATGTGACCGAAGATACGGTAGATGTTGTCTGGTTCAGCGCCTTGTTCCTTTCACGAGTTTTCAGACTGCAAGTCTTATTCATTACGTAAACATGTCATTTGTGATAAATTTAAGACAACACATGTTGAAAGCATCTAACAATGAACATCAACACAATAAAAAATTATAGATGGCCGTATTAGGTGTGCATAAATGTGGGTACCACACAGTGCAGATATATACACAATCAGTCCGATGTATATTATTACACGGTCACGAATAAAATAGATGATTTATCATTTCGTTTGGTAAACTGATTTTCCATGAAGTAGTATCTTTAACAAACTTATTAAAATATTTCAAGCTTTTATTTCTACTAATGACTATTCGTGATGGTTAAAAGAAATATCATAAATCCACAAACTCTGCTATACTTTAAAATCAGGACAGCAGAAAAGTTACCTTTGAGCCACATTACGCATGTCACAGTGAAGACTACGTGAACTATACAGAATCAGTTGAATGTTAATGACGCGTACGTCTGCTGTATGTGACAGTACATTTTCCACATACGCGCCACTGGACATGGCCCTAAGCAAGATTAATCGCATATTTTAACTCTAGAGTGAAATCTATCGTCATCCACACATCTCGTTTCCCCCCAGTATTCGAAGTCTTCGTACGAAAATTCCGTAACAATCTGTTGTGTCCCAAATAGGACTATGCTATACATGGCTGAAATTTTATAATCTCGCGGCATAGAACATCGACATTCTGTCTTACCCTGATGATGCAGATCGTATGTTTCCCCGAAACTTTGGTATGCACCTAAGAGTCAAAAGGGAAACGACCAAGAAAACAATTATCACAATTCGGTAATTCCAGATAAGCTAAATAAACTGCACATACTCTTATTATGTAATATCCTTACTTCGGATAAAATCAGTGGCATGGACGGGAAAACAAATATCCTGATTACCTGCAGTAAAATCAGTGACACTACAGGATCAAAAGAGCGAGGCTGCTTCTGACAGTTCATCAATTCAACTCACGCAAAGTGCTGGGACCTTTCACTTCACAGGCCTTTCATATACGTCGATTAAACGTCATTCCCCAGTCACTCTGAATATCCCGTTGATAATAGACACAACTACAATCACCACACAAACGCACGGTTTAGGTGCTAACCTAAACAAAGGGACAACAGATTTTTTAGAACACAGAAACTAATTTCATGCAGAATACAATTTTTCTTGTCAAGCTAAACAGTACACTCAGCTAGTCATGAGATTCCCCACCTCTAACATAACACGGAGGTCCATTACCATGTTCACAAGAGACCACCACTGGCCCCGGTTCTACGCCATATGAATCTACTCCACACACACACACACATCCTACTTTCCTAAGATGTGTTTAATACTCGCTCAAAGAACTTGTCCGCAAAGAATCCTGACATTCCACATTCCAAGACTTGTGTCTATTATCTGTTTCTTAAGTTGTTTCAAAGAATCAGTCCACGTCAGAAGACATAATTTGTAACATGTCGGTTTCCTTAAAGGGAGAAGTTCTCAGCATCACTCCAAACCCCCAGTCAGGATGACCTCCCATTATCAGCGATGATTTTCAAGCTGAGCTCCACAGCTGGAGGAATTCTCGTCCATGTCCAACCTGAATAAGCGTCATGCCGAAATAACAAGGCACCCATTTCTCTTCCTACGACTTCTTAAGACTACACATTACTGCCATTAGGTGAGTAGATTATAGGCATTCGAAGTGATGCACTCGAGTCTCACATATCCACGACTATACCAAATCAAACAAACAAAACAGGTTAATCCACACCGGAGATTTTGTAGTCCTTATATTTTACTTCATTTTTCTTCCTTAACAGTCTTAAATTGCGATTAACAAACCTCAAGGACCAATCATTCCTAAGAAGCTAGTGGTCAATAAACTTCGTTTTATGGAACCCAAAGAATCTTTACAGTGCTCATAAGAACCCGCCACTGAACATGATCCAGAATCCGATAAATCCAGTCCACACCCAGAAATTGTTTCTTTCACCCAGTAAGCCTACTCTGAAATCCACCGATCTAAGCGCAATTTTCAGAATTCTTGGCTAAAACTGTGTATTTCCCATCCCCCCTACGCGCGTTGCATGTAATTTAATCCTCTAATCCTTGTTGATTTATTCGCCTTAATAATTATCTGCAATTTAAACTTTCATTTTGTTACCAAACCCGGCTGTCACTTCACTGATTCACTCTTGTGCGTCTTTCTTCCTTCTTAGAACAGAATCAGTTCTGAGGAGCTCCCAGTCGTTCAACAAATTTATGCTATCAAGAAATTACGCGGTGTATTGGCAACGCTAAATCGACATCGATTACTTCCTCCTACGGCATTCAGTATCGATGTATCTATATCATTTGATATCTCAACCATATAACCAATGTTCACATTCGATGACGTCACGACGAAGACAAAGGCGC